GGATGTTATTTTGAGGACTAAGGTGCACCTGATTCAAGCCATGATATTTTCCATTGCCTCCTATACATGTGTACATGTATAAGTTGGACATTGAATCAAGGAGACTGAAGAAGAATCAATGCATTTGAATTGTGGTGCTGGAGAAGAATACTGAAAGTACCATGTATTGCTAAAAGGGCAAACTGATAGGTTTGGGAAGAAATATGGCCAGAATGCTCTGTAGAGCCAAGGATGACAAGACTTCATCTTTACATGAACATATTGTCAGGATAGACCAGTCCCTGGAGAAGGACATCCTGCTTGGTGAAACAGAGGAGCGGCGAAGGAGAGGATTGTCACAGTGGCTGCAACAGTGGGCTCAGGCATAGAACCAATTGTGAGGATGGTACAGGACCGGGCAGTGTTTCATTCCGTTGTGCATAGGTCGTGTTTGAACTGGAAACCTTACAGTGAGCAGCCCAGCACTCAGGTCCCGGTGCAGCGGGGCTCCTCGGAAGAGCGCTGCCCACCTGGCTCACCCTGAGTCTGAATGGACGTGAGAGCAACCAGCATCCACATGGCTGCCAGACTGCTATTGTAGCAGCTGAGGCCTGACCCACCCACGGGTGAGCTCTGTCACTGTGACGGAGGCCGAGGATCCGTGCCGAACGGAAAGAATGCTTGGCTGGAGAGAGAAGCAGGTGTCCCCAGGGGGCGGAGGGCATGCCGGGCGGAGGGCACAGTGTAAGAGCGGCCCGGCCCAGGCTGGTCTGGCAGTTGCAGGATGCCTGTGAGACAAGAGAGGGGCGGGAGGGTGACTGGAGTCTGGGTAGTGGTGACATGTTGGGCTGCGATCTGCCTGGCTGTACATCTGTACTTTGACTTTATTTGACTTTAGATTGTAACTTGGATGGCAGTGTACAGAGCCAACCATCAGTTTTAAATCCAGCAATGTGTACACCGTTGGCACCATCTCATTGCTGGGGATCCCCTCAGCGCAACACCACTCCTCTCACTCCTTCCCGGGATTCCCACGTGTTTGTGATGCTGGTGAAGAAGATCGAGTATGGTGTGGACTTCCAGAAGAATTCACAAATCAGTCTTTGAAGAAATTGTAGTCAGAATGCTCCTTAGGAAGGAGGACAGGCGATGGCACTTTGTCTAACTGCCTTTCGACAGGTGCACGGTCCATGAAGAGCGGAGGTGAAGGAAATCCGCAGTGAAATGGATAGACACCATGGCGGCAACGTGGGCGCCAACTGACCCTGGTCACGCAGATGGCATGAGATCGCACAGCCTTTCGCTCTGTTATCCACGCAGTCTCTGTGTGGAACCATGTGGTGTGGCTCTCCCATCCATAATCCTTGTGCTCCCACCAAATGCATTTTTGTTCTTGGTGGGAACCTTTGGCCGGGTCTGACTCACGGACCCAATGGGCAGCAGAAGGGAACACTGCCCGCTCCTGGGCCACGCGCACAACTGCGCTTATGTCCGAGCCCCGGGTTGCAGCCACTGCGTCAGTCCATCTCATCGAGGCCCTTCCTCTTTTGCAAGGGCCTCCCTCCACTTTACCAAGTATGATGTCCTTCTCCAGGGACTGGTCTCTCCTGACAACATGTTCCAATGGGTAGGAACGTGCAAATAAGGTGTAGAAGACTGTCACTTGGGGGGCGTGGTCGGTTTTGCCATTGGCCTGAATGTGAGGGAACCATTTCAGAGGCAGGAGCAGCGACCCAATAGCCATCCAGAACGAGGAGCCACCAGTGGAGCGTGCCTAGGAGGTCCCTGCAGAAAGTGTGACGCCAGCAGTGGCCACACCCCCGAGACCATGAGACAGAACAGAGAGTTGATGTACGGATACAGAGAGGCTAAACAGTGAGCTTCCTTAGTCATGGGGGCAGAGGCCAAGGGGCCACATGGCTGAAGGCCAAGGACCAGAAAGTCATGTCTGCCAGTGTGGCTGAGAGAGGTGTTGCAGACGAAAGAACAGTATCCTTACCATTTTGTAACTTGTTAGCTTCCCCAATAAGCCCCCATAATTGGGAGTTCTGTGTGGTCATTGCAATGAATTGGGGGTGCTGTGGGTTGGAACTGACTCCATGGCACCTAACAACAA